ATAGCATTCACGAGCAGCAGTTGAAGTCACTCCTACCCTGTTCTACCAAGGCAAACAGTGCGGAGGAAGCATGGAGCCGACTGAAGTCTATGCACCAGTCAAAATCCGAGAGCAGCCAAGCTGAGATGTGGAGCCGCTTCATGAATTTGAAGATGGAAGAAGATGAATCAGCACAAGCATACCTTCAACGAGCTGAAACGATGCTGGAGGAAGCAGCAGCGATCGGCTTGGAGATCCCAGAGTCTCTTTTCAAGACCGTCATCCTCACTGGCCTTACACCGGAGTGGGACACTTTCCGTGCAACACTACAAGCGCTCCCGCAGTCAATGAAGACTCGTGCATTCATCTTCGAAGCCCTTGTCAACGAGCAGCAGAGTCGAGACCTTGCACGGAACAAGCGGAGTGACGAAGGTGCGTGGAGTGCTGCAGCGGCAACACGATATGGCAACCAATTCCAGAGGCAAGGAAACTTCAGCTCAAACCGCCCTCAACCTTACTACGGTACGAAATTTCAGTCACCTTCCAATCCCTACAACCCCTCTCGTATTCCTCAGTCAAGTCATCCCCTTAAGCCAAGTCCTAATCTTCAGCCAAGGTCTTCCATTCCCAATCAATTTCAGTCTAGGAATGTGAGAGCAAATCCTTTAAGAGTCAATAATTTCAGTCAAGGGTCAAATGCTAAAAAGTTTAATTTTGAGTGCTTTTGTTGTCATGAGTGGGGTCATCCGTGGTATGCTTGTCCTAAGAAGCCTCCTAATTGGGTCCCTCCACCTCAGCTACTTTCTGAAAAGGGTAAAGCAGTCATAGCAAATATAGCAAGCCATGCTACGAGTCAAAATGAGTCCAAAGATTCTGACGGTCCTGTCCTTTTCAACGCTGCTACTTGCATGCATGTTTTTTCTACTAGTAGTGAGGAGTTTATTCTTGATAGTGGCTGTTCTGAGACCATGACTCCCTATCATTCCATTCTCAAGGATTTTCAGCCCTCATATGACTCAAAAGCGGTGACTCTTGCCGATCTTGGCAAAGTCCCTATCAAAGGAGTCGGCAAGCTTGAGTTTGAGAAAGATGGTAAGTCATTTTGTGTCAATAAAGCTTTGTTTGTCCCTGATTTGGGAGCAAACTTGCTCTCAGCTGGACAACTTGAAGAGAAAGGTGCCTCTGTTCTTTTGCAAGGGGGGAAAGCCAAAGTGTGGGATAGTGCAGGAAATTTGGTGGCTGAAGGCGAGCGTACCGGGCGTCTCTACAAGATGAAGTTGGAGATCAAGCGCGGTTCTAGCAACACGAAGAACGACGTTGTCTCGCTTCCCGCTGTTTCAACCGATCAAGTCAACAACAAAGGGAGTATCTCCCAAGCCGAGGTATGGCATGCACGCTTGGGGCACTTGGGGATGCAAGCATTCAAAGAGTTAGTAAGTCACAAGAGCGTGGAAGGACTTACTTTGAGTGAAAGTGCAGTCAAGTCTCTTTCTACCGTCCCATGCCCATCTTGTGTTGAAGGTAAGCTAGCTAGAAAGCCATTTTTCCCTTCTAAGTCTCAGTCAAGGGACCTCCTAGAGTTGGTCCACACTGATGTGTTCGGCCCCATGCGAGACCCTACTCGAAACGGTAAGAGATATTTGGTGTCTTTCATTGATGACAAGAGTCGTTTCTCATGGTCCTTTTTCATCAACACCAAGGATGAAGTTCATAAGTGCTTCAAGCAATGGCTAGCACTTGTTGAGAGAGAGTCAGGGAAGAAGTTACTCACCTTGAGGTCGGACCGAGGAGGTGAGTACATGGGAAAAGCGTTCCAGGGGGAGTTGTTGTCATTGGGCATCAAGCAACAATTCACTTGTCCCTATAGTCCTCAGCAAAACGGAGTGGCAGAGAGGTTTCATCGCACTATTCAAGCTATAGCTACCACTTTTCTTCAGTTTAAGGGCCTTGACAAGCTCTGGTGGGGTGAGGCAATCACTATGGCAATCTATGTTCGCAACAGAAGGCCAACAAGGCCTCTACCGGATGGTGTAACGCCATATGAGGCTTGGTTTGGAGTTAAACCAGATCTGTCTATGCTCCGTGTTTTTGGTTCCATGGCCCAATACCGTGTCCCAGATGCAAAAAGACTCAAGCTGGACAGCAAAGCTCATTGGGGCCTCTTCATCGGCATGAGCAATGAGAGCAAGGGATGGGTCCTTTGGGATCCCGTCACCAAGCGAGAAGTGGTTTCAAGGGATGTTGTCTTCTATGAAGACATGTCCCTTGCAGATTGGCACAAGTATTCCTCTTCCTCCTCTCTACCACCCTCTATCCAACAGGAACCAGCAAGAGCACCTGAGGAAACAACACAAGAGGAGGAAGATGACAACGTTTCTGACCATAGCGGACCGATCATCGATCTCCCTCAAGCCGTCGGCAACGAGACCAGCCGTGCCACACCAGCGCCACCAGCAGCTACACAACCAAGTGGAGATGAAGTTCAGCTATCAAATGAAGACCATCCACCTCAGGAAGTCACCGTTCCATCACCGCCAAAGGAGCAGCAGCCAACATTCACAAACCAGCCAGCTACTTCAACACCAACCTCACAAGTTCAACGCCAACCGGATCAGCCCACCACTACGCCACCAAACCCATCATCAGCCGTCACTCCAGAGGCAATTACAGAAGCTCATCGTCATCCCATGCAGCAGCAACCAACAGCTACAAGTTCCCAAGTACCTACATCAACACCATCTACGACTCTTCCTAGCAACAAGTCAACCGTCACCGCAACACCTCGTTCTCATACCACACGTTCATCACTTCAACTTCCAACGTCAAGCCAGCTCATAGCACGAGGATCACTTCAGCGAGTCTCCACCAACACCAGCTCCAACAGCCCACTTCTTCACCCAAGACCTTTCTCAACTTCACCCCCACGTCCCGGATTTGGTCGTCATCAGTTACCGCCATCTTCAACACCGAGCAACAACACCAACCAGCCCCAACCATCACCATCTCTCGACAACGCAGCGTCATCATCAATTCCCAAGCTTCTAGTCTCACGATCCCCACCACGAGCATCTTCACAACCAACTATGCCGACGAACGTTTCAGCTTCACCGCCACGAGCCACCACTCCTATTCCTCAAGTCAACACCGATCATCGAGAGAGTTCCAAGCCGGGAGAAGATCATGCAGCCGTGCCGCCGTCGCAGCCGATGTCGAAGCCGTTGTCTCAGCCGCAAATGACAGTGTCAATGCATCCAAACACTGTGAGACCGAACCCTACCACTGATGTGTCTCAGCCAAGTGAGGAGTTGGGTAAAGGTAAACGAGTCCGCAAGGTGAAAAAGCCCTTCACATTCATGGTTGACATGTCATCAAGGTGCACATGTGAGGAGAGCGAGAATTGCATTCACAAGAAGGTAGAGGCAATATGCATGGCAGCATCACACCTTCCACGAGAGCCCTTGAGTCGTCGTGAGGCAATGGCAAGTCCTGAGAGAGAGCATTGGTTGAAAGCCGAGGAAGAAGAGATTGAGAGTCTCATGAAGCGAGGTACATGGCGTCTTGTTGAGCCACCTCCAGGGAAGAAGGTAATTGGTGTCAAATGGGTGTACAAGATCAAGGTAAAAGGTGATGGTAGCCTCGATAGGTACAAGGCAAGGTTAGTGGCAAAAGGTTATTCCCAAATCCCAGGTCTTGACTTCACCGAAACCTTTACCGCGGTAGCGAAGTACACCACGGTACGAGTCCTCCTCGCCATAGCCGCATACCTTGGTCTTCATATCCACCAAATGGATGTCAAGAACGCGTTTCTCTATGGTGTCTTGGAAGAAGAGGTATACATGGCACAACCCGAAGGTTATGATGATGGTACGGGTCGAGTTTGTCGCTTGGTAAAGTCCCTTTATGGTCTCAAACAGTCCCCACGGGTATGGTATCATGCTCTTGAGAAGGTACTCTTCAAGCACGGTTTCACAAGGTCCATGAGAGACAACGCTTTGTACTTCATGCACACGAGTGAGGGGGAGTACATTTGGCTCTTGGTATATGTCGATGACCTCCTCCTAGTCTCAGGTTCCCTTGATCTCCTCAACAAGGTGAAAGGTATCCTCATGAATGCATTCACGATGACCGATCTTGGTGAGCCGAGTCATTACCTTGGTATGAATATTGTGAGAGATCATAAGTCAAGGTCCATCTTCCTATTCCAGCAAAGGTACATCCAAAAGGTTCTTGAGAGGTTTGGTCTTGATGATAGCAAGCCATCACCTACCCCGCTTCCTTCCAACTTTGTCCCTTTGTCTTCACATCAGCCCTATGAGGAGAGAGAGTCAAGCCTTGACGTCACGGGTATTGAGGAGTTGTGTCTTGAGGAGAGTGAGCATCATGGTGAGACGTCACCCAAGGTATCCCCACAAGACCTAGCTCTCTACCAAAGTCAGGTTGGGTGTCTCATGTATGCAGCCCTATGCACAAGGCCCGACCTAGCATTCACGGTATCCAAGCTAGCTCAACACATGAGTGCCCCATCACCTATCCATATGCATGCAGCCAAGCGAGCTCTTAGGTATCTCAAAGGTACTTCTAATCATGGTCTTCTCTTCCAAGCCAGCCCACATGCACGCTTCCTCCAAGGCTTTACCGATGCAGATTGGGCGGGAGAATTGAGCACACGCAAGTCCACCGGCGGCTACATCTTCCTCATGTGCGGTGCCGCTGTTTCTTGGCAATCACGCAAGCAAAGTTGTGTGGCGCTTTCTACAACCGAAGCTGAGTACATGGCAATGACCGAAGGAGCAAGGGAGGCAATCTGGTTACGTGGACTCTTGGAGGACTTGAGGCAGCCGCAAACTCAACCGACTCCGCTCTACGTGGACAACACTTCAGCAATCGCTCTTTCCAAGAACCCGGTTCATCATGGGCGTACAAAACACATCGAGGTGCAGTACCACTTCATTCGTGAGCAACTAGAGAAGGGAGTTCTCGCCGTCAACTTTTGCCGTTCATTCGATCAAGCAGCCGATTTCATGACCAAGGTTCTTCCATATGATGCTTTCAACATGTGCAAGGCAAGAGCAGGTCTCATGACACTTCATGAAGCAGTGCAGCAGTTTGAGGAGAATGAGGAGTATGAGGAGAAGCAGCATGGGCTGCACAAAGTGCATGCTAAGGAGATGTGAGAGGAGCATAACCATGGGTGTATGTGTGCTTCGGGTCTGGTGCGAGGGGGAGTGTTGGAGAATCGAGATTCTGCCGCCCCAGCCCTTTGCACACAAGGAGCAGCAAGGGGGGAATGTCGGCGATGGATTGAAGGCTTCGCGAAATATCGGAAAGTTTCCCAACCAATCAGATTTCAGCCGAAGACTCGATACAGTTCAGAGCTGCCTCCAAACCGAAGTGTTGGGAGTTTCTACAGGTTTCTACACATCAGAATCAGCTATAACAGAAAAATCCAGAGATTTCTTATTCATGCACCTCATGTGGCTCTCAAGTCACTCAAGGTTCATGGAAGCTGGATTGTGACCAAGTTCCCAAGGAAGTTGCCTTGTCTAGCAACCTAGTTTGAGCTACCTAACTGCCTTGTTTGTGATGTTTAAGAAGGTGTGCTTTAGTGGGCTTGTACAACCTTGATCATAGTGAAGTTTTACCTCATCCAGTCAGTCCAGCAGCCCTGCTAAGACTTTTCAGCCACGTTTCCAACCTTTCCAGCAGTCACAGCTACTCTGTTTTACAAGTGAATATGCATTGACGAAGAGCAAATCGGTCGCTCGAGGAAAGTAAACCTTGTTAGCAGAAAGTGAGGCAGCGGGTGTTGGATTGTGGTCCCTTCTCAGTTAGCAATTTTTTCGGTTCAGATTCAATACGAGAAATGCGATCTGGTCAGTGACTCGTCTTGCGGGTTGGAAAACCGAGCGCGTCACCAGGCTGATCTCGAAATTTGACGCGGTACCCTACAACAGAAGTTAGTGATGACTGGTCCGCCCTAAGATCGGCGCCTATTAGTTAATGTTCGATCGCCCTAAGATCAGCGACATTCACAGCTCGGTACCTCATTAAATCTAAGGGAATGTGGGACAATTTCCTTCGCGATGCTCTTTGGGGTGTCGGTTTCCTCGCTGTGTCCGCGTTAGTAGCTTTAATAACCTTCCAAGAGAAGCTACTCTACGTCCCCGTGGTTCCCGGAGCCACGCGAGAGTACCCGTTTACGCCGGAGCGCCTTCGGATGCATTTCGAGGACGTATGGCTGACGGCGAAGGACGGCGTGAAGCTGCACGCGTGGCTTCTCAAGTACACCCCCGCCACTCGAGGTGCTTCCCCTTCATTTCGGTCGCCCTTCATTTCGAACTCCCTTAGTTCTTCCCCTTCATTTCGGACTCCCTAGTTCTTCCCCTTCATTTCGGACTCCCTTAGTTCTTCCCCTTCATTTCGGACTCCCTTAGTTCTTCCCCTTCATTTCGGACTCCCTTAGTGCTTCAAATCGTTACTCTCAGGGACTCGGGGCCCTCCTTCATTTTCTGAATACCGTCGGATGCCGCCATCAGCGCAATTCTGATTGTTGAATCATTTGTTACCTTCCATCATTCCATGTTCATCTTCTGGACACGAAACCAGAGGGTGACTCTGCATACATTTCTTTATTGCTAATCCGCGCAGTTTCCCCTTTGTCTCTGATTTCTATCCATTCCGTACCCCCATGCCCACCTTACCCATTCTATCCTCGTGCAGGCCCTACGGTTCTATTTCTTCAAGAAAATGCCGGAAGTATCGTCCCTACCTCTGAATCTCTCGAGAACATTGGATTTTCCTGAATTCCCAGAAAGCGCTCCCACCCGACCATCTCATCCTCTGCAAGCCCCCTCCCTCTCTCCCCCAGTCTCCTCTCTATCCAGTGCTCTCCTCTCTCCACTTTCCTCTCTCCCTCATCTCCTCTCTCCCCCCCTCTCTTATCTCCAATGATCCTTTTTCGGGTCGCCAATCTTGCCTGTTGCATTGCTCTCTGTTTAGCACTCATAGTTCTCCATCAGTTTCGGTCCTCCTTCACTCATACAGTTGCTCCTTAACGTCTCCTCTCGTGCAACTGCAATCATTCCTCTCCGCAACCATTCCTCTCTGCAATCATCCCTCCCCTGCAACTGCCACGCTAATGCTGCTGGGCGCACAAAGACATAGCGCATCGCCTGGAGTCATCACGCTACACCATGGACCGCCTTCACTGCAACATGCTGCTGCTCTCCTACCGCGGGTGAGCCTTGTCCCTCTGCTGCTGCTGCTGCTGCTGCTGCTGCTGCTGCTGCTGCTGCGGGTGAGCACTGTTTCTTCATTGCTCCTGCTGTTGACTCGGTACCAAGAACGAAATGAACTGCTATGGAGTGAAATTGCAGCTGCTGGGGTGGGTGGCATGCTGCTGTCATTCAGAGGCGAGCTTCACACAGCCAGGGTGCTTTTTTCCATTCTGTCACTGTTTGCAAAATGCCTCGCTGGCCTCCCGCTTCTTTCCCCACCCTCGTCTTCACTCCCTCATCCACACACTCATCCAACACTTTCCCCCTGTTCCTTTCACAAACAGTTTTCCTCTGTCATGCTCTCCCCTCTCCCTCTCTCCCCTTTCCCTCTCTCCTCTCTCTCTCTCTCCCCTCTCCCTTTCTCCCCTCTCCCCTCTCCCTCTCTCCCCCTCTCCCTCTCTCTCTCTCTCCCCTCTTCCTCCCTCCTCTCTCCCCTCTCCCTCTCTCCCCTCTCCCCCTCCCCTGCACTCCTCCACGCAGGTATGGTGCGAGCGAGGGCAAGCCGACAGAGCAGGGCCTTAGATTGGACGCGCAGGTATGGTTGGTCATTCACTGGTTTCATCTGGTCGTTGACGGGTATGGGATTGAGACGTGCCTGATTAACGAGTTTTGAAACGTCAATCACAGATGTTGAAACGTCAACGAGAGTTAGATGTTTCAAAGAGGCACACAGGTATATTCTGGTGATCGAGGGGCTATGGGTTTGATTCCTAATGGCCTCCAAGTGCGTCTGAGACGTCACAGAACTTGACTGAAGGGGCAGGCAGGCAGCACCACAGGTATGGTGGCTGGCTGGTGCTGGTCCGAGTATGCCTGTGTTGACCCTCTCACCCTATGAGGCGCGTCAAAAACCATAGTCTAGTACGGCTGCTTGTGCCTTTCCAATTGCCTTTGAAGCCACCAGTGGACCAGCTGGGCCCAGACTGTGGCCTCGCTCTTACGATGCACTGCCCTCCCAGTTCGTATGTGCACCTGCTGTGAGTGCCTCACCATATGTTGACTAGCTAGCTGGTATGAGTGGATTGGGTTTGACCTTGTCTGTAAGTGTGACTAGTGTCTGACCCTCCGATTCGCCTTTGATTGGATATGATGCGTTGGATTGGATATGATGCGTTGGATTGGATATGATGCGTTGGATTGGATAAGTCGGTTCAGATTGCAGCCTTCTTCCTGGTTCACATCGAGGATGAAGCATGAAGCATGAAGCATGAAGCATGAAGCATGAAGCATGAAGCATGAAGCATGAAGCATGAAGCATGAAGCATGAAGCATGAAGCATGAAGCATGAAGCATGAAGCATGAAGCATGAAGCATGAAGCATGAAGCATGAAGCATGAAGCATGAAGCATGAAGCATGAAGCATGAAGCATGAAGCATGAAGCATGAAGCATGAAGCATGAAGCATGAAGCATGAAGCATGAAGCATGAAGCATGAAGCATGAAGCATGAAGCATGAAGCATGAAGCATGAAGCATGAAGCATGAAGCATGAAGCATGAAGCATGAAGCATGAAGCATGAAGCATGAAGCATGAAGCATGAAGCATGAAGCATGAAGCATGAAGCATGAAGCATGAAGCATGAAGCATGAAGCATGAAGCATGAAGCATGAAGCATGAAGCATGAAGCATGAAGCATGAAGCATGAAGCATGAAGCATGAAGCATGAAGCATGAAGCATGAAGCATGAAGCATGAAGCATGAAGCATGAAGCATGAAGCATGAAGCATGAAGCATGAAGCATGAAGCATGAAGCATGAAGCATGAAGCATGAAGCATGAAGCATGAAGCATGAAGCATGAAGCATGAAGCATGAAGCATGAAGCATGAAGCATGAAGCATGAAGCATGAAGCATGAAGCATGAAGCATGAAGCATGAAGCATGAAGCATGAAGCATGAAGCATGAAGCATGAAGCATGAAGCATGAAGCATGAAGCATGAAGCATGAAGCATGAAGCATGAAGCATGAAGCATGAAGCATGAAGCATGAAGCATGAAGCATGAAGCATGAAGCATGAAGCATGAAGCATGAAGCATGAAGCATGAAGCATGAAGCATGAAGCATGAAGCATGAAGCATGAAGCATGAAGCATGAAGCATGAAGCATGAAGCATGAAGCATGAAGCATGAAGCATGAAGCATGAAGCATGAAGCATGAAGCATGAAGCATGAAGCATGAAGCATGAAGCATGAAGCATGAAGCATGAAGCATGAAGCATGAAGCATGAAGCATGAAGCATGAAGCATGAAGCATGAAGCATGAAGCATGAAGCATGAAGCATGAAGCATGAAGCATGAAGCATGAAGCATGAAGCATGAAGCATGAAGCATGAAGCATGAAGCATGAAGCATGAAGCATGAAGCATGAAGCATGAAGCATGAAGCATGAAGCATGAAGCATGAAGCATGAAGCATGAAGCATGAAGCATGAAGCATGAAGCATGAAGCATGAAGCATGAAGCATGAAGCATGAAGCATGAAGCATGAAGCATGAAGCATGAAGCATGAAGCATGAAGCATGAAGCATGAAGCATGAAGCATGAAGCATGAAGCATGAAGCATGAAGCATGAAGCATGAAGCATGAAGCATGAAGCATGAAGCATGAAGCATGAAGCATGAAGCATGAAGCATGAAGCATGAAGCATGAAGCATGAAGCATGAAGCATGAAGCATGAAGCATGAAGCATGAAGCATGAAGCATGAAGCATGAAGCATGAAGCATGAAGCATGAAGCATGAAGCATGAAGCATGAAGCATGAAGCATGAAGCATGAAGCATGAAGCATGAAGCATGAAGCATGAAGCATGAAGCATGAAGCATGAAGCATGAAGCATGAAGCATGAAGCATGAAGCATGAAGCATGAAGCATGAAGCATGAAGCATGAAGCATGAAGCATGAAGCATGAAGCATGAAGCATGAAGCATGAAGCATGAAGCATGAAGCATGAAGCATGAAGCATGAAGCATGAAGCATGAAGCATGAAGCATGAAGCATGAAGCATGAAGCATGAAGCATGAAGCATGAAGCATGAAGCATGAAGCATGAAGCATGAAGCATGAAGCATGAAGCATGAAGCATGAAGCATGAAGCATGAAGCATGAAGCATGAAGCATGAAGCATGAAGCATGAAGCATGAAGCATGAAGCATGAAGCATGAAGCATGAAGCATGAAGCATGAAGCATGAAGCATGAAGCATGAAGCATGAAGCATGAAGCATGAAGCATGAAGCATGAAGCATGAAGCATGAAGCATGAAGCATGAAGCATGAAGCATGAAGCATGAAGCATGAAGCATGAAGCATGAAGCATGAAGCATGAAGCATGAAGCATGAAGCATGAAGCATGAAGCATGAAGCATGAAGCATGAAGCATGAAGCATGAAGCATGAAGCATGAAGCATGAAGCATGAAGCATGAAGCATGAAGCATGAAGCATGAAGCATGAAGCATGAAGCATGAAGCATGAAGCATGAAGCATGAAGCATGAAGCATGAAGCATGAAGCATGAAGCATGAAGCATGAAGCATGAAGCATGAAGCATGAAGCATGAAGCATGAAGCATGAAGCATGAAGCATGAAGCATGAAGCATGAAGCATGAAGCATGAAGCATGAAGCATGAAGCATGAAGCATGAAGCATGAAGCATGAAGCATGAAGCATGAAGCATGAAGCATGAAGCATGAAGCATGAAGCATGAAGCATGAAGCATGAAGCATGAAGCATGAAGCATGAAGCATGAAGCATGAAGCATGAAGCATGAAGCATGAAGCATGAAGCATGAAGCATGAAGCATGAAGCATGAAGCATGAAGCATGAAGCATGAAGCATGAAGCATGAAGCATGAAGCATGAAGCATGAAGCATGAAGCATGAAGCATGAAGCATGAAGCATGAAGCATGAAGCATGAAGCATGAAGCATGAAGCATGAAGCATGAAGCATGAAGCATGAAGCATGAAGCATGAAGCATGAAGCATGAAGCATGAAGCATGAAGCATGAAGCATGAAGCATGAAGCATGAAGCATGAAGCATGAAGCATGAAGCATGAAGCATGAAGCATGAAGCATGAAGCATGAAGCATGAAGCATGAAGCATGAAGCATGAAGCATGAAGCATGAAGCATGAAGCATGAAGCATGAAGCATGAAGCATGAAGCATGAAGCATGAAGCATGAAGCATGAAGCATGAAGCATGAAGCATGAAGCATGAAGCATGAAGCATGAAGCATGAAGCATGAAGCATGAAGCATGAAGCATGAAGCATGAAGCATGAAGCATGAAGCATGAAGCATGAAGCATGAAGCATGAAGCATGAAGCATGAAGCATGAAGCATGAAGCATGAAGCATGAAGCATGAAGCATGAAGCATGAAGCATGAAGCATGAAGCATGAAGCATGAAGCATGAAGCATGAAGCATGAAGCATGAAGCATGAAGCATGAAGCATGAAGCATGAAGCATGAAGCATGAAGCATGAAGCATGAAGCATGAAGCATGAAGCATGAAGCATGAAGCATGAAGCATGAAGCATGAAGCATGAAGCATGAAGCATGAAGCATGAAGCATGAAGCATGAAGCATGAAGCATGAAGCATGAAGCATGAAGCATGAAGCATGAAGCATGAAGCATGAAGCATGAAGCATGAAGCATGAAGCATGAAGCATGAAGCATGAAGCATGAAGCATGAAGCATGAAGCATGAAGCATGAAGCATGAAGCATGAAGCATGAAGCATGAAGCATGAAGCATGAAGCATGAAGCATGAAGCATGAAGCATGAAGCATGAAGCATGAAGCATGAAGCATGAAGCATGAAGCATGAAGCATGAAGCATGAAGCATGAAGCATGAAGCATGAAGCATGAAGCATGAAGCATGAAGCATGAAGCATGAAGCATGAAGCATGAAGCATGAAGCATGAAGCATGAAGCATGAAGCATGAAGCATGAAGCATGAAGCATGAAGCATGAAGCATGAAGCATGAAGCATGAAGCATGAAGCATGAAGCATGAAGCATGAAGCATGAAGCATGAAGCATGAAGCATGAAGCATGAAGCATGAAGCATGAAGCATGAAGCATGAAGCATGAAGCATGAAGCATGAAGCATGAAGCATGAAGCATGAAGCATGAAGCATGAAGCATGAAGCATGAAGCATGAAGCATGAAGCATGAAGCATGAAGCATGAAGCATGAAGCATGAAGCATGAAGCATGAAGCATGAAGCATGAAGCATGAAGCATGAAGCATGAAGCATGAAGCATGAAGCATGAAGCATGAAGCATGAAGCATGAAGCATGAAGCATGAAGCATGAAGCATGAAGCATGAAGCATGAAGCATGAAGCATGAAGCATGAAGCATGAAGCATGAAGCATGAAGCATGAAGCATGAAGCATGAAGCATGAAGCATGAAGCATGAAGCATGAAGCATGAAGCATGAAGCATGAAGCATGAAGCATGAAGCATGAAGCATGAAGCATGAAGCATGAAGCATGAAGCATGAAGCATGAAGCATGAAGCATGAAGCATGAAGCATGAAGCAT